CAAAAATAAAATAAATAAAAATTTTATTTTTACCTAATAAATCGGGCGTTACTTTTGGTGACTACTGTACATATAAGCGAAAACCAAGACAAGAGGCGAAGCCAAGTTTTCAGCAACTTTCTTTACGCGAAGCAAATTTTTTACATCTACCTTGTGCAGATTATAACACGGGTAAAATAGCCGAAATAGAAAATAATTAATAAAAAGGACGACGACAAGGGGGCGAAGAAATTTTCCGCACCTGCATTTTACGTGCGTACAAAAATTTTCCGATCATGCCACAGGAATAAATATCCGGATTAGGAAATTGAAGACGAAAAGCAAAGCAAAATTTCTTCTGTAAAAAAAAAAAAAAAAAAAGCCGTTAATAACTCTGTTTGTAACAAGAACTTAAAACCAGCATTCTAATTTTTATTTATTTATTTAGATCGTTTTGTGCCTGTGCCTTAAAATTGTGGAGATATAGACAGACGTGATACAATTAATTAATGAGCCACTTTACATTTCGTGTTATTAAGGGATAAAATATTCGTTAAGAGATATTGACAATGGATACTAGTGCTGTTGAGTCTGGACGTGCTTTCGCAACTTTCGCTGAAGCTTGTGTGACAATTGAAAGATACGCAATGCAAATGAATTCTGTCATAATTCTAGGAAAGACGTCGAAAATTCCTGATAATGGTTATAGACAAGCACTTTTTGTATGCGAAAAGCAAGAAAAATACAGTGGAAAGAATGATGAATATACGACTAAGCGTGTTGGATATAATTTTGCTATTGGCATAAACTATCGTAAGCGCACTGATATATATGTTATAACTAAGTCGTGTCTGGAATATAATCACGATGTTTGCTTGAGTGCCACTAAATTTAGCACCGTTAGTCGTAAACTTGATAATGATGATCTGGGTTTAATAGAAAGGCTCTACGATAACGGACTTAGGACTAAAGATATATTTTCAGTTTTGAACTCGGTTAGTTCAAAATATATCCATAAACCCGATGTTTACAACGCAGTAAGCCATCAACGCAAATGTAAATTGCAAGGTTTGAGTAAAGTTGAATTACTTCTTAAAACTTTGCGCGATGACGATAATATTGTAGAAAATATTGCCTTAAAGGATACATACAATGATGAACGAGATCAAGATGGTGAATTCATCCAAGCAGTTTTTTGGGCGTACTGTGATTCAATTTCTGAATTTGCAGTGGAAAAAGATGGTTTAATTATCGATACAACTTATAAAACGAACAGGTTCTCTATGCCTTTAATTGTATATGTAGTGTTGATCAGTTTTGGTCCACATATCTATTAGTATTCGCTCTTGTTTATTCAGAAAAGCAGGATTTTTTATACCTGGGTATTACAGCAACTAAGTAAGGTGTTGATTGTGTTTACAGGCAATACACAAATAGAAACTATTATAACTGATCAAGAGCTTGCTCTAATGTTAGCAATTTCTAATGTATTCTTTTGTGCGAGATATCAGCTATACACGTGGCATATTTTTAAGAATATAAAGAGTAAACTTAGAAAAGATATCGACCTTGACGAATTTACTAAAGTCATTCAGAAACTTACCTATAGTATATTTTGGAAAGTCAATTAGATCACGAAATTAATATGTTGTGGAAACAATTTCCAAGGGCAAAACAATACATGTGTGAAATCTAGATACCATACAAAAAGAGTTGGCTTGCACCTTATACTAAGGGTAATGTTAATCTTGACATAAAGTCAAGTCAACGGGTTGAAAGTTTGCATAGTAAATTAAAAGGTGTTGAAAACAGAGTTACCCCGATTGATAAGTTGTTTGCAATTCTCAGAAAACAGATACAAGAATTTTCTAAAAAGCAAGCATATGAGACTTTCATATATCAAAATAAACATACACATAATAAAATGGATGCTGGTCTGGAAAAACTAAAGCTAGTTTGCTCACGATTTGCATTTGAATCGTACATTAAACAACAAGGGGATCTTGTGAAATCTGGTATCTACAATATATTTGAGAGCAATAAACTTGTATATAATGTGTCACAAATTAATGATAAGTCCAGCCAAACATATATTATATATCTTGGATCATTCAGCACCTATACGTGTCTATATCCGTGACACACCAGGACTCTATGTCATCATATTATTGCAGTGTATTTACTTCACTTACACACTTATGTATCGCTGAGTGAGGTTCATCAGCATTGGAATGTACACCATCATACAGAAATGGAACATGTAGTTTACTCTTATATTACAACAATTTTTGAACAACTTCCAACTTATCACCATGGTGCCTTTTCAAATTTTATGCAACAGGCTTCTGAATACGTTTTAGAGTATGGAGAAATACCAAATTTGCTACAAAATGACAAAAATAATACACCCAAAGATATTTTTGAAATAAACATCGTTAGCACTAGGCCGTTTTTGTGGATCAGAATCTATACATTGCTTCACCAGTTCAACATAG